CAAAGAGAAATGGAATTATTGCATAATCTTGCGCGTCTGTGAACTCCTATACTACTACTCTAGCTGACACTTTTAAATCAAGAGATCTTACTCGGTGTGGCGAAACGCGATGACAAAACGATAAGACTGCACGAGAAAACGTCATCTTTACATCGCAGTGAAACGCACTTTTCTGCAGTAGGAAACTGCTACGCGATGCAAATTTAGATACACTGCTAAAAAAAAGAGCACGAAGAAAGTTTGTCATTATACATCTCAGTTAAAGAAAGACGTCTACATGAGTTCTACTAAGGACCGTTCAATGTATTTAGAAAACTACTGCCTGCTAGAGGAAAGATCGGGCCCTTTGCGTTAAGTCTATGTTGTTGTTTTTTGTTTAATGAAGTTTGAAACTATACAGCATCTGCCAAGAAGGATAGCGCGGAAAATATCAGGAAGGTGTCAACAGACCCCCTATAATAGATTCATCACGAACCTTTCCCAAAGGGTAGTAGTGAACGCAGAAAGCGTCTCAAAAATACAGACTGGTCGACAATCATCGACCGTTCCTCGAAGTCCTCCAGAATCGCACGACGAATGTGGCCACTTGAAAAGCTTTTCACGTTCCGCACAACACGGCATGATCAGATACGCGAAAATATTTCATTTCACTGATCGTACAGTTTAAAGCGGAGCTGTTCGTTTGCGTTACTGCTTATTTTTTTCTTCCAGTAAAAAGCTTTGTAACCTTTCCAAGGAAAGAAAAAGGCACGAAGTCTTTTCCTCGATTTCTGTTTAGACGATACTCGAATCAAAGCCATTTTGAGTGAGCTGCGTCAGCCCAATCGCAATATCGCTGTCAGCACAAATGAAAGTAACGAGACTAGGGAGGTTTTCTGGTTTTCGGCGGTGCCATGAAGCAAGCTTTATGGACAGCAAAGCTATTTGTCTACCCTCTGGAAGGAGCGGTTTTCATTGGCCACGAAATGAAGAGAGTTCACTCCTATAACCCATTGAAACTTCGATCACCATAGATACAGGCTTTTTTAACAGTTAGATGGTGGGCTCAAGTCGTCTGGAGCCTACATTTAGAGTGAGTTGTCAGATGAAAATCCGACGAGGGACTACGCGAGCGATTTAAGCGACATAACTGTTACATGAAACTGAAATGGTTATCTGATTAGGATGGAGCCTTAGGAAGTGCCAGTTTCGGTTGGGCTATTTTTTACATTATATAACGTTTCAAAGAATCCCGTGAGGACTTTTATTGTACAATTTAATTTCTTCTCTAACCATCCGGAATGAGAAAGATTGATATGTCACTTTAAAATCTGCACAATGTTACGAGTTCGAATCAAATGATGCCATACAAAACTTACGTGTCACGATTATCATGTTTAGATGTGTCGTTTACCTTCGTCATCTACTCACGTCACGTTATACCAAATTTACTTTATGGAGCTAGCAAGGCGGCCACAAACACGCTATGAGCGTGGTATATTGTCATGTATTTGCATGACGCGCTTTTCAGGGTTGTCATGTTTGCACCAGTTATATACTTTAGTGATTCATTCACATCACGTAACACTAAATTCGGTATATGTGAAGCTAACAAAACGACCACGAGCGCATTATGTAGCGACGCTACGTTAGCAAAACGCGAGCACTCTATAGTCTGGTGCCAGGCGTGACGGGCGTGACCAGCATCCGTCGGCACGGCCCGACGGCAACCGGCGCGAAATGCGACATGCTGCATTTCCCGCTGGTGCGTTACCCAGAGAACACTGCTTCTCCCTCTTTTTGTCACGGAGGGACGCCGGACGCGCTGAAACGCGCATGCGTCAAAGCAACGCAGTGCGGCGCGCGCCGGCGAGTATGTGGCAGGACCGGCGCCTGGCGTGGCAACACCGGCATTACGTGAAGAAATGAATGCAGGCAAGAATGCGCACCGCGTCACGTCGAAATGTATTGGAGCCTTGACTGTGGCATGTAGTCATGTTCTCACATGACACGCATCTCATGAGTATCATTTTTGCACCAGTATCATACCTTCATCATCCATTGGCGTCCCGTGATGCCAAATTTGGTATAAGTGAAGCTAGCGAAACGGCCGCCAGCGCATCATGAGCGTGGCATGTAGTCATGTTGTTACATGACACTAATCTCATTAGTATCAAGTTTGCCCCAGTCACATACCTTCGTCATCGATTCATGTACCGTAATACCAAATTTGGTATATGTGAAGCTAGTGAACCGGCCGCGAGCGCATCATGAGCGTGGCGTATAGTCATGTTGTTACATGACACGCATGTCATGATTTTCATGTTAGGGTCTGTAGCTTCTGTTCACCATGCAATCATGCCATACCATACAAGTTTTACAACATGCCATGTGAACAAAACCAGCGCAAGAGCTGCAGGATTATGAAATGTAAATCATGACATTCATTCATTGATTGATTTATATGTGGGATTTAACGTCCCAAAACCACCATATGAATATGAGAGACACCGTAGTAGAGGGCTCCGGAAATTTCGACCACCTGGGGTTGCTTAACGTGCACCCAAATCTGAGCACACGGGCCTACAACATTTCCGCCTCCATCGGAAGTGCAGCTGCCGCAGCCGGGATTCGAACCCGCGACATCCGGGTCAGCAGCCGAGTACCTTAGCCACTAGACACTGCGGCAGGGCATCATGGCATTTATGACATACATGTCATGGTTTTCATCTTACCACTAGTCCCATATGTTCTTCATACAGTCATGTTATGCCATATCAAGTTTGGTATCTATATCATTATCGAAACGGCCAGGAGAGCTAGAAGTCTTAGTTAGAGGTATAGTGCATCCAGGACGGGACATAGAAGAAGACACAGAACACATACACGGCGCTAATTTTCAACAATGCGGTTTATTGCGAGAAACAGCAATACTTATACCCAAACATACCCAAAGAAAGTTAGCGCCGTGTTTGTGTTCTGTGTCTTCTTCTCTGTCCCGTCCTGGATGCGCTATACCTCGAACAACATGAATAACCAACAAGCCCGCCGTGCAACCTTAGAAGTCGTAGGCGAATAGATAGATAGATAGATAGATAGATAGATAGATAGATAGATAGATAGATAGATAGATAGATAGATAGATAGATAGATAGATAGATAGATAGATAGATAGATAGATAGATAGATAGATAGATAGATAGATAGATAGATAGATAGATAGATAGATAGATAGATAGATAGATAGATAGATAGATAGATAGATAGATAGATAGATAGATAGATAGATAGATAGATAGATAGATAGATAGATAGATAGATAGATAGATAGATAGATAGATAGATAGATAGATAGATAGATAGATAGATAGATAGATAGATAGATAGATAGATAGATAGATAGATAGATAGATAGATAGATAGATAGATACGCTCAAATTCGCCGAATTTCGCTAAAAATGCTTTGCATTTAAAAATGGTTGCTAATATCGACAAAGTGAAGCATAGCGACTTTTAAGTTTCCAAAAGCTAGTACAGTGCGTAACACAGAAATGCGAACTGAATCTGTCTGTGCATCCATTAGTGGAACCTGACGAACTTCCTCTGGATATTCCGCGTGTTGTTGTAAACATGCTTTTTATTAGCAGAGCATATATACTAGCCTATATTGTCCACATTTTCTCTTAAGCACTCCTGTGGTTCCTACTCGAATCAGCAAAACATTCCCAGAAGGAATAGCTTTCTGCTTTCGCACAGACGAGCACGTAAGGCTAAATCATTCGAATTCGTCACACACACGTATGCACACCAACGCACGTGCGTGAGCATACTGTCTGTAATTTCTTTTGGCAACTCTTCGAAAAGGAACAAGAAATACATTCTCAAGGTTACCTCAGCTAATAATAGTTGCCTACATTGCAAAATGTATTAGGCTATGAAAACAAATTTTACTTCTCAGCTGACCTACTGGATTCGTAAAGTTAATACAGCTTATGAAAGCAGGGTTTATTGAAACTGAGAATTTTTATACCTGGTAGTTTGCCCGCATACCTGAGAGCAAGGATTACAATGAGAGGTAACCTCGAGTTATCTTCAGAGGCGTAATTTGGCATCATTGTTCACTGAAGTTTTCACTGCAGAAACTGTTCATAATCAGTTTATTTTTTTTTTGTTATCCAGATGAGATGTACGTCTTTGGTGCTGAATAAAACAGTGTATATTATACCCATTCACATCCAGACAATATTTGAGCAATATTCAAGTAATACTTGAAAGATGGTATATTCGCCTACATGTTTCAAGATATAGGCGTTCAAGATCAACTCCTGTTTTGACAGAATAACCTATAATGTGTAAACATTTTTTCTTGTAAAGTACAGCGATCCAAAACAATCCTCATTAGGCAATACAACGCATGCAGCTTAACAGATCATGCAACCACCACGCAACACTTAAGGGCTTCCATAAACCTTTTCGCTTTATTATTGCAATAGTACGACTGACAGCAAGTGGCTCTTTAAGCGTTATTTGGTGTTTGGTAGGTATACGCACCCAGCAAACTGCTTGTGTGCGAGCGTGTCGCAAAGATGAGCGCGATAGCGCGTGACCCAATGCCAGGGTCAAAGAAAGCTGCATTCTTTTGAGATATTGGCCCTTATTTACATTTTCTACAGAGTTAACTAGGCAGCTAAAACAAATGTATGTTTCATCTTTTTTCATCACTGCTAAAGTGATAAGAACCGTGATGATGGAGAAAGAAAGTAGATCGACGAAGTACAAATTCAAAAGAAAAAAACCTTTCAGCTTCCACACTACTTTTAGGCTTTTATTTTGTGGGGGTACTTTCTTCCCTTCATAATATTTCCTTCCGTCCAGACGGGTTCCCGCCGATGTCAAAACTAACAATACTGCTCAAGAGCAACTGCGGAGTACTTCTCCGTTTCCCAGTTTTGTACTTTTTTTGTACCCGGACTAGGACTCTGATAGTGGGCGAAACGGTGACTGTGCGTGAATCTTTTCAGGCTCAGCAGACTCTCTCAAGCACAGAGGATCCGGAAGATACTCCGGAGGCAGATCCAACAGTAACTTGTACATAGGTAGGCCCCCGTGTACGTCGTATGTGCCCCAGTTTTCCCTGTAGACATATATATGTTTGGTCTGTCTGAGTTTTTGTAGACGAGCGCTCCTGCATTGCGAGCTGCATCCGACCACATGATTCGCGGTCGCTGTGTTGTTGTGAAACCGTCGGCGAACCATCGTAGTGATGCCGGCGGACTGACGCTACAGCAGCGGCAAGTGCCGTCCCTTGAATGCCGTCGCTTCTCTTTTGTTGTTTATTCGTGTTTTGTGTTTCTCAAGCTCTGCAAGAAGTGACATCCCTCTTCCTTACCCGCTGTTTACGTTCAACCTGCCTTGACATCCTCACGTAGTTGGCATATGATATAATAGTATGCATGGCTTTTGCTTCCCGTTTATGGTGTGTGTATCTGTATTCTTTTTCTTGTATTGGCCAGAACTTTACGATTTCAGTAATGTACGTACAGTCAGATATTCTAAATACCATTTGCATCTTAACATGTTTTGAATGTCATGGGTGCGTATTTATTTCATTAGAGCGCAAGATTGAAATTTGTAAGAACACTTGAAGAAATAGTAAAAAAGAGCTTTACACGCCAACAATCTGAAATTTAGTAAACGCACAATGAGCTTCAATTTATGCATCTAAAAATCAACTTTCTGCACAACGCAATGTAGAGAAAAACCAGGCAATCACCACGCTTGCAGTCAAATCAAGTACTCTCTTAACTGGACTGTGCAAGTTCAAGAAGAAAGCACGCCATTTAAGTGAGCATGGTCGTCGCGTCTCACGGCTAATTTTCCGCACAATTGTAGGGCAATAAACACTTGAGAAAAAACGAACTACCTCCATATTACTATAACGGCATTAAAAAAACAGGAACAGTTATTCAAGCTCTGAAGAAAGATTTGGTGCTCACTAAGCAAGGTTTAGGAAGGATTGGGCCGCACTGCCATCACCACCCACGGGACGGCTTTATGCTCTCCCATAGTGGAGTACCTAGTACTCTAAATCGTTAACCACCTTTTCTAAACACAGAATTGACACAGCAAAAAAATTCGTAACTTTTCTCGACAGTTCAGTTGTGTTAATTGAACGGACTTTGAATGTTCAAGCTTAGCGACGCATTTTCCGTTATGTGACGGAAGGTGTGGCAAAGACCAAGATTCTTCTTTGTTTTCTTCCTCTTCGCGCAGGCGCTATTTTCACGCCCTACTCACGGGAGCAGCAGACAGCCTACGAGTACACCATGTACGAGCACAACCGGGGTGACTCGAGGTTCAAGGTCAACTCCTCCACGGGCGTGGTTCTGAATGACGACCCCTTCAACATGACCCGAGAAGGTGAGCACGTTGGAATTGCGCCTGCTAAAATAAACCCCTCTCTTCCTCTTTCTATCTCCAGCTCCTCTCTCTCTCTCTCTCTCTCTCTCTCTCTCTCTCTCTGCCTCGTTTTCTTTATTCTCCACAATATAGTGGTAGGAAAAGTACCTAAAGGTTGAGTTCATTAAGGTTTCCGTTTGTAACTACTTCTTGCTTTTTGTTCGGTCACGTCCGCAAATATTATGTCCACCTTCAGCATATGTTGAAATTTCCGTTTATGAAAAAAAAATTAGCACAGCTTCCAAATTCAGTCAAGGCTTAGTGACGGCAAAGTTGGTGGATACTCAACTGGGTTGGCTCTGCCAGGCTTTTACCATTTCACTTGCTTCTTTGCCACCCCTTTCTATACATACTGTGCTACATCATACTATACTTTCCTATACCCGCTCTTTTTATAGGTTTCTTCAGTCTGTATGTTTATATCTTATTCGCTCTTTATGTATTTCTCTTTATTTAACTGCGTCTATATCTCATAGCGATCGCTCTCTCACATTCTATCTTTTTCGCACCTCGATCACAATTACCGTTCTCACAACTAACCACGCTGGTTCAATAAAAATTAAAATAGAAAAACACTGGCGGCAAACACCGACAAGGCGCCGCACAGTTCGGCTTCTCTCGTTAACCATCTGTTCACAGCGCTTGGACGGTGATTGAGCGCACAGTGGTTGAAGATTATGATAATTTGCTATCTACCACACACGGAAAACCTCCAACATAACAGCTCTGTAGTGAAATCACAGCGTATGGGCTTTTTATGAGAGCTCTGGCAATGTAAATACGTAGGGAAACGCGGATGTGCATTGTTTCGCGACTCAATCAATGGGAATTTCATCGTGTCACGCGGCATTCTTTTTTACCCCTATTTCTGTTCTTTCTCAATCACTCATGAACGTTTTCGTCATGTACGTTCAAATTTTAATACAACGACATGAAAATTGAGTTGGTTCTTACAATAACATTATGTTGGTTTATTTCGAAATCTGAATTTTCTCGGTTCCCATCTAACGCATCTGAGATTATCTAGGTTTTTGGCGGAAGCGCTGTTACCTGTACCATGTTCAGGCCACCTATCCTGTCCTTCATTTCACCGATGTTGCCGGCAAGTCAAGTACAGCCACCGACCTAAAAAGAGGTTCGCTTGTGAAATAAGAAATAGAAAAGGAAGTAGCACGTCGTCTCACTTATAACGGGGTGTGTGCTTTCGGACGAAATTGTTTCTCTTTCCCAGTTTGAATTACTTATGGACTACATTCCACGTATAGTTAATAGAAAGAATCAAATTAGAACAAGTGAAATTATGGCTCATATTGTGGTCATCGACATAAAAAGAATAATAGAAAAGCAGAGCTTTTGCTGCTGCACATTTACATATCGGCTATAGGCGTTTGAGTTGAATGGTTATATTCGCTTACGTCTCTGTTAGCGACTTTTATTTTCTTATCTGTCCCCTCTTCCTCATTCCTCAGTGCAGGGTAGCAAACCAGATACTTGCTTTCCACTCAGTAACCTCCCTGCCTTCCTTCATACCATATCTCTATCTTGTGCGAATACATCTTTTATTCTGGTGTTCTCACAACGAACGTAGTGAAGCTATGGTAAATTTTATAAATATTTTGTTTGGACAAGTAAGACGACAGACCACGTCCAAACGTTTAAACCAACAAGCTCAATGGCGTCGTAAGGCAGACACTGCAGGCGTTCAAAATTTTACCGCCTTCGCTTCCTTAAAACAGGCCACCGCTATTCGGCTGTAAAACTAACCGACCCATAAAACAGATTCGACCGTCACAGTATAGGCCTTTTTCTGGCTTAGGCTGTAAAAAGCTAAGAACTTCTTTTACGGTCACCGAAAATAAAAGGAGACGTAGGCATTTTTTACTCTTCCGCGCTTCTTTATTACCGAAGCAAAGAGGAGCCATCGTAATTATAATAATATCCACAAGTAAGCAAGCAGTTTCTGCGCGCTTGGCCAAAGATTTATGTCTAGCGATGGGAACCTTTCTTTGTGTAAATTTCTATTCTTTTCCATTTATAGAGCATAAAGACGAGAGAAAACATCTCTTTCAAGCATGCGTATTCGTTTCTGGCCGGGCAATACCTACAATGCCACTGAACAATAGCACATGTTTCCTTAAGCAGACATCACGACAATCTATCACGTCAGCTTTCTGGGGCTCTGGGTTAACGCTTGCATTTATTTTTTCTTGCTTACGTGAAAACTGTTATTCTCCTCCACGCAGTTAATGCTATTGTACTAGCCAAACTCGGGCATAGTTTAAGAGCTTGTCCATCTGACCTAAACGTGAAACGTGGTCAAGACAGAGAGCTTAGGCGTTAAAAATAAGAATATTGAACGGCACTTCACTGCTACATTTTTTTTTTGCCCAGACAGATAACTATTGAAAAGTGTAACTGTAATACTGAACCATAATCTCCAGTAGCCCTGGCGGAGATCGTATGTTGCCTGCTTCAGGAAACAAACGTGATTCTGTGACCTCCTATTTTCTCTCCTTACTGATGCAGAATATTCGACGAAAGGTTTAATTAAACCACTAATGTACAAGCAGACGCGAGCTCACTAATAAAGCCCTACATACTGGACAGTTGGGACAACCAAGCGCTGAAAAGACAATACATGAAATCGTAACTTAGTAAAAATTTTGTAAATGCACCTGGAAAGAGTCTTTGTTGTCCGCCTCATCGGTCGCTTTAGTTGAACAGAACGAATAGCGGTTCACAATCTATACAATCAAAATGACGTATTCAAAACAAATTAAAAAATGAAGGAACACACAGCCTATTACAAGGGTTTCTAGGCGTTATTGTTGCTGCACGAGTTTTTTTAACGTAAACATATGCATTTACGCGTTGAATGGATCAAGCTAGCGTTGACGTGCTGTTGGAGATATATATCTGAGAGTACTCGATGTTTTAAATAACTCAGCGGCACACATGAGGCTCCCAGAGGGCAAAATTATTTTCTAGAACTACAACATAGAATGCTTCCTATGCTCTGAAAGGCAACCCCGCGGCATTAAAAACGTGGAATCGGACACAGACAAACGTAACCGAACCCTATAACGCGCATGAAACACTGAGCCGGCAATAGACACGACGCGCGCACTAAAGTTCACAAGCGTGCATACAAAGTAACGTTGTGTTGTTGTGTACACACTGAATACCTGCAATATATCGGCGTAGTCGTGGGTACCACCATAGCATAATGATAACTGTTTGGGTTCAATGTCCCGGAACCGCCACATGCTTCTGAGACACGCCGTATTGGAGGGCTCCAGAAATTTCGACTACCACGGGGTTCTTTAACTTGCACATGGGGTTCTTTAGGCACGCACGTCTGAAGAATTTTCGCCTCCATCAAAAATTCGGCCACCGTAGCCTCCATTCGATCCCGCAACTTGTGGGTCAGCAGCCGAGTGCCTAAGCCACTTTCCCACCGTGGAGGGTACCACCATGACAGCCACTAAATGAACTAGTGGTTCCAGTGAAGACAGTAACATTTGTATGTGAGAACGCATACAAATACCTTCACATGCGTTACACGTTTATATATATATATATATATATATATATATATATATATATATATATATATGTATATATATATATATATATATATATATATATATATATATATATATATATATATATATATATATATATATATATATATATGTGTGTGTGTGTGTGTGTGTGTGTGTGTGTTTGTGTGTGTTGTGTGTGTGTGTGTGTGTGTGTGTGTGTGTGTGTGTGTGTGTGTGTGTGTGTGTGTGTGTGTGTGTGTGTGTGTGTGTGTGTGTGTGTGTGTGTGTGTGTGTGTGTGTGTGTGTGTGTGTGTGTGTGTGTGTGTGTCTTGCACTTTTCATTAGAAATGTAAGAAAAATTATAGACAGCACTCTTTCGGGACCAGTTTGTCGAAGATTACAACGAAAATTTGACAAAAACACTTTAGGCTCTTTTTTTTTTTTTGCAGCGGGACTGAAGATCAATGAAGGGCAAGTGACATCGAAATGGTTATCGTTTCAAGGATAATTTGGTGAGGCCGCTACCATGAGCACAGATAGCTTCGGCATGCCACTGCCCAAACTATCAACGCTTAATCCTGCGTGAAATACTTCGGAACTAGCCCAGGGATAACTTGTAGAGACGTCAGCTAGATCGCGAGCGAAAGTCGCCACAGTCGCTAAGCCGGAGAAGTCCCTTCGTTCGACGTAGAGGTGACGGCAGGACCGCTGAAAGCATTCATTATGGAAAGCCATTAGAGCAGCACTCCCGACTCTCAAGTCGAACTTTCGGGGAGGCCACGGTCATCAAGAAACTGGAGTTTGCCCGTGCGCCTGCTGATTCCCGTTAGCCGAGCGGCAGCTTATAGTAGAGACCTGTTTGAACAGCGTTTCACCATTGACACACAGTTGCCATCCGGCGACGGCTTCGAAGTAATGTACCAGTGGCGCAGACAGCATGTAGTTTATATGGTGGAACTCTCCATCATGACTGTCCTTTGGGGCATATATTGGTTCAAGTCTGTCCAGATAGATTTACCGGAGATGCAATTACAGTATCTGGTTTCAACCCTCGCGCTTCAATCTACGTATGGGCTTAGCTAGTTGGAATATACAAGTATTGTGACGCGATCGAGACTCTGAAAAAGGCAGTACGCAGTCAGTACGTTTGCGACGCTTTAGTGGCCGAACTTGCGTTCAGTAAAAGGAAGACGGGAAGTCGAAGCGCCTTTCTCTTTACAATGACTGTAGCGAGTATCTGTAAAATGCGTTCGCTTTCATACCTGCCTACTTGGGAAACCAGTGGGATCATGTCGAAGATAAAAGGAAAAGAAAAACAGAGAACGAGCACTGTCAGCACTCGTCGCTTGTCTCATTCTTGCATCTCCTACGTGTTCACGCTGGGTTTCCAAGAAGACGCTGGGTAAAGTGCTAGAT